TTTTTGTTTGTTTGTTTTGAGACGGAGTCTTATTCTGTCACCCAGACTGGAGCGCAATGGTGCAACCTCGGGTCACTGCAGCCTCTGCCTCCCTGGTTCAAACAATTCTCATGCCTCAGCCTCCCAAGTATCTGGGATTACAGGTGCCTGCCAACACACCTGGCCAATTTTTTTTTGTATTTTAGTAGAGACAGGGTTCTACTGTGTTAGCCAGGATGGTCTCAAACTCCTGACCTCAGGTGATCCACCTGCCCTGGCCTCCCAAAGTGCTGGGATTACAGGCATGAGCCACCGGGCCTCGCTACAGTTAACTTTATACAGTCAGATTTAACACTCATCCTTAAATCCCTTTACATTTCTCTTGACTGCATGCATGGTCTGTAAGTGTATAGGTAAATTTTTACACATTTTAACTTTTTAAAGTAGATTTGTGTCTATTTCATGGTGGTAAGTTATTTTTAAAAACTAGCATTGGGCTAGGTGCAGTGGTTCATGCCCATAATCCTAGTGGCTGGGGAGGCGGAGGCAGGAGGATTGCTTGAGGTGTTCAAGACCAGCCTGGGAAACATAGCAAGGCTGTCTCTTGTAGAGAAAATTTTCTAGAATTTTCCTTGATACGAACATTCTTCACAGCTCCTGGTGCCCATGCTGTGGGAGCACAGTTCATTCTTTCACTGATGTTTGATACCCCATGTGTGAATATATTGCTTGTTTCCCTTTTTTTTTTGAGATGAAGTCTCAACATAGACCCTGTCTCTACAAAAATAAAATAAAAGATGTAAAAATTAGCCAGGTGTGGGGCAACAGAGCAAGACCCTATTTCTAAAAATAATACACTAGTACTACATATATTTTAGGCATTCATGACCTACCTACCTTTTTAATTTTTTCAAATATTTCCAGGCTATGCAGTTCATCTTCCAGTTTTTTCAAATTGTTACAAATCTCCAAAGAATGTTCCAATATATGTGTTGAAAAAAATCCACATATAAGTGGACCCAAACACTTTAAACCCATGTTGTTTGAGGTCAAATATATTCCAGAAATGCTGAAATTAAGTTGCTAATAAATGCAAAGGTGGTTAATACCCTTAGCATCCTACAATGCAATAAAACGTAATGTTTTAGATCATCTTTTCTTCGGGATAGAAATCAATTGTATCTTTGCCAGACAAAATTCATTTGTATTCTTGTAGGTAAGAGTCACTTGCATTACTGCAAGTTTTTTACAGCTTAGCTTTCATCCCTATGGAGTTGTAAAACAGCCTAGTTATTAGAAAGATAAGTAACAGTGCACCCCATAGAATCATAATCCCCAGGAGTCAGGAGGATGGCACCTGGTGTTCCACAGAAAGGACACACGGCATTTTCTTTTGCCCATTTCCAAACATTGGACAATATTGCCCTCGACTGTGTTGGTGACCTTTTTTTGTTTCTTTGGAGACAGGATCTCACTCTCTCCCCAGGCTGGAGTGCAGTGGTGCAATCACGGCTCACTGCAGCCTCCACCTCCTGGGGTCAAGCCATCCTCCCACCTCAGCCTCCCAAGCAGCTGGGACCAGAGGCACATGCCATGACTCCCAGCTTATTTGTGGGTTTTTTTTTTTTTTTTTTTTTTAATGACAGAGCCTCGCCTCTGTCACCCAGTCTGGAGTGCAGTGGCGCAATCTCGGCTCACTGTAACCTCCACCTCCTGAGTTCGTTCAAGCCATTCTCCTGCCTCAGCCTCCTGAGTGGCTGGGACTGCAGGCACACACCACAACACCATGCTTATTTATGTATTTTTAGTAGAGATGCGGTTTCACCATATTGGTCAGGCTTGTCTTGAACTCCTGACCTCAGGTGATCTGTCTGCCTCAGACTCCCAAATGGCGGGGATTACAGGTGTGAGACACCATGCCCGGCTGAGCTAATTTTATTTTATTTTTGTAGAGACAGGGTCTCACTATGTTGTCCAGGCTGGTCTCGAACTTCAAGTGATCCTCCGCTTTTGACTCTCAAAAAGCCAGGGTTATAGGCATGAGCCACCAAGTCCGGCCCTATCTGTAACCTTCAGAAGCGGCTCGGCTCTCTTGCAGGATTCGTATTTTTGTTCACTGCTGAGGGAATGTCACCCGTTCTGACTACACTTCATTTGGTCCGTGAAGGGTCTTTGAATCTTTCTCTGCTTTGGGTCTGGTTCCTAGATCACCATCTTCTTTAATGAGTCTCTCCCACTCATCCTCCACGCTCAGCTCAGGCATCACCTTCTCTGACCTTGATCATGAATTCAGAAAGGAAAGGACTTCTCGTGCTTCTGAGGCTGGGCCAGCTCTATGGTAACAAACCTGAGCTCAGCCTAAGGCCTAGGGATTCAAACGCACTGCTCCTACAGATAATGTTTGTTTTTGTTTTTGTTTTTTGCCTATAGATGGTGGTGCTACAGCAAGGCAGGCCCAGAGCTATCAGGCCAAGGACCCCCTGCAAAAAATGAAATGGTTCAGATCAGAGAAGTAAATCATGAAGTCAGTGAGACCAACCATCACTCCCCTCCTCTGTCCCTGTTAAAATGTTCTAGAAAACAGTTGGGGCATGCATGAGTCAACGGGAATCTTCAGGTGAGAGAAGGCTTTCATGGAAAACTGAGCGCTAAGGAATGAATAGGAATGAGGCCGGGCACAGTAGCTCACGCCTGTCATCCCAGCACTTTGGGAGGCCAAGGCAGGTGGATCACCTGAGGTCAGGAGATGGAGGCCATCCTGACTAACACAGTGAAACCCTATCTCTAGTAAAAATACAAAAAAATTAGCCGGGCACGGTGGCACCCACCTGTAGTCCCAGCTACTTGGGAGGCTGAGGCAGAAGAATTGCTTGAACCCAGGAGGCAGAGGCTGCAGTGAGCTGAGATCGTGCCACTGCACTCCAGCCTCGGCAACAGAGCAGCTAAAAAAAAAAAAAAGAGAGAAGAATGAATAGGACTTAATGAAAATTAATTAGAAGGGAGTATCGCTCATGCAAGCAGGCACTGGAATAGGAGGGAAACTGAGCCCAGTTCTTGCCTTTCTCTAGCAGAAGTAGGAATTCCCATCTGGAAAAACTCAGCTACACAGACTGGTTTGGAGGGAGCCAGAGGAGAGGGCTTAGAGACAACACTACAGCTCACTGCGGCTACGCGGGTTAAGAGATCCCGGTAGTGTCACCCTGGCAGATCGCTGTGGATGTGGAGGAAACACAACAGATGCCTGAGACGTTCAGTTGGTAAAACACAGAAACTGACAAAGTCGGCCAGCGCGGTGGCTCATGCCTGTAATCTCAGCACTTTGGGAGGCCAAGGCAGGTGCATCACCTGAGGGCAGGAATTTAAGACCAGGCCTGGCCAATGTGGTGAAACCCCATCTCTACCAAAAATGCAAAAATTAGCCAGGTGCTGTGGCGCCCACCTGTAATCCCAGCTACTCAGGAGGCAGGAGACTCGCTTGAACCTGGGAAGTAGAGGTTGCAGTGAGCCAAGATCATGCCACTTCACTCCAGCCTGGGCCTCAAAAAACAAAACAAAACAAAAAAAAAAAACCAGGGTTTTTTTTCTTTCTTTCATCTTTCCTTAAACAAGCATGAACGCACTATCCAAACCAAGACATTGAACAAAACCAACCACCTCATCGTCCTGTGTGCTCCTCCCTTCCCCTGTTCCCTGGCCCCCACCAAAAGGTCTCCACTGTCCCCGTCCTAAAGTTTGCACTTTTTATCACATTGTAAAATATTGCAGTATCATAAATACATGTATGTTAAACAGACATCCTTTTTTTTTTTTTTTTGGAGACGGAGTTTCGCTCTGGCACCCAGGCTGGAGTGCAGCGGCGCAATCTCTGCTCATTGCAACCTCCACCTCCCAGGTTCAAGCAATTCTCCTGCCCTAGTTTCCCGAATAGCTGGGATTACAGGCACACGCTGTCCTGCCCGGCTAAATTTTTGTATTTTATTAGAGATGGGGTTTCACTGTTACCCCGGCTTGTCTTCAACTCCTGAGCTCAGGCAATCCACCCACCTCAACCTTCCAAAGTGCTGGGATTACAGGCTGAGCCACTGCGCCTGGCCCTTTTTCAAATTTAATATTGCTTCCAAGGTCATCCATATTGTGGCAGCATAGTCCATCCTTTCCCTGATGTATAATATTCCACGTGTGACTACATCACTCAGTCATTCTGGCTTTTTGCTACTATGAGCTTTGCTGATATGAACATTCTTGTCAGCTTCTCATGCCCATATGCAAGAGTTTCACTTGGGTGTGTGTGGGGGGGGGTGTGTGTGTGTATGTGTGTATGTATGTATATATATATACACATATATATATTTTTTTCTTTTTCTTAAACATTCAGTTGGTACCAAGCTTGGGTATATCTTAAGGACTGGGAGTCCCAAAGATTCTCCCATCCTCGGTACCTTGGCCTTGCCTTCCAATCAGCTCCTGTCACTGCAGCATGATGTTTGCCGCAGACCCCGGCAGCATCCGAATGCAATGGTGCCCAGCAGCAGGAGAGGAAAATGTCTCCTCTTCCCTTTACCACAGAGCAAACCTTCCCCAGGAGGCTCCAGGAGATGTTCTTGAACCCTGGTTGGCCAGGAGTAGGTAACAGGTTCCTTCTCAAACACATCACTGACACAGAGATGGGATGACCGTAATGGCTCAGACCAATCAGGATTCTCTCGAGAGGTCACCAGGCATGCTGTAGGTAGGCACAGGGACCAGAACAAGACCAGAGCTCTGCAGGAAGGGGGCAAACGGTGGGTGGGCACCTGCAGCCACTGGTGTCTGCTCCATCTCCATGCCCCGCCATTCACCTCCTCCGCATGCAAAAACCATTTTCCTGCAAACACCTGTGACCCTACATTCAACTTCACATGCAGAAAGCTTCCTCCTGTAAACACCTGTGACCCTGCATTCACCTCCACATGCAGAAAGCTGCCTCCTCCAAACACCTGTGACCCTGCATTCACCTCCACATGCAGAAAGCTCCCTCCTGTAAACACCTGTGACCCTGCATTCACCTCCACATGCAGAAAGCTTCCTCCTCCAAACACCTGTGACCCTGCATTCACCTCCACATGCAGAAAGCTTCCTCCTGCAAACACCTGTGACTCTGCCTGAGGCTTTACTCCAGTTGCATTTTTGGCCCAGGTAAAACAAGTCAGAAGTGCCGCAGAGTCAGTGCCTCCAGAAGGCACCTTTTCTGAGAGGTGGTGGATAACACCAGCTTCGGCACCTCTCCCTTGGGATCACTGACGTGTTCTTCACCATCTCCCAGAGTTCTCCCAGAGGACCGACCTGTCGCTGCACACAGAGGGAACTGGCAGGATCATGAAAACTGTATTAACTGTCCTGCCTTCCCCACCTCACAGATCCACTCCTCCACCCATGTTCCTAAGATCCTCTCTCAAATAAACTCTTCACACTCAATTCCTAGTCTTAGAGTGTGCATTTGAGAGAAACTGAACAAACCCAACAACCCACACAGCAGCCAGCAGTCTCTGCATCAGGTGTGTCTGAGCAAGATGGGAGGCTGGGTTGGATGTTGGCAGATGTTGGGTATAGGACGTGATTGCGGCTGTGAGTATAGATGAGAATACCTTAAGAAAATATACAGACAGGGCTTCAAGAACAGAGTCCTTAGGCCAGCTCGGAAGAAGCCCAGCGTTCTGTGGCTGAGAAGGGAGGATTTACCTGCAAAGGAGACGGAATGGCCAGAGGGTCATGAGTATGGTGGCCCAAAAGCCAAGCAGAGGCAGCACTTCAAGGTGAAGCAGTGGTCAGCAGTGTCACATGTTGCTGGCAGGTCAGGTACAACAAGGACAAATGCTGTCCACTGGACTGGGTGACTTGGAAGAACTGTGGTGACATTGTTAAGCAGCCCTGGTAGCGCAATGGTGCAAGAACTACAATTGTAGTGGGCTGAGGAGGGATGGGTCAGTCAGAAGGCAGAGACAGCAAAGGAGACCAGATGGAATCATGCACAATGAAAACCCCTGTAAACATTTACATTAGCTTTCCTTGCATGGGCTGTTTATGATTATTTATAAATAAATGCATTCATAAAATGTCTCTCTTTGCTTGAGGTAACTTTTCTCTTTCATAGCTCACTGGCTGGCTCAACACAGCCTTGACACAACCTTCACTCAACTCAGACGAGAAATGATCCCACTGTCTCCTGCCAACTAAGCATTCAGGCAAGAAGGACCAGCTGAGAGCAAAGATGGGCAGGCGGGCAGCCAGCCTTTCCAGCCACCTGTCTGCAAATACCAGGGTGCGTATGAAAGAGCATCTGGAATGCAAACCCCAGACACCCCAAGGCAGCTGGTCACCCGCACAAAGGACTTCTGCCATAGACCTTTCACTTCGCTCCTAAGGACTAAAGCAGACAGGCCAGAGGCACACACTGTACAGCTACTGCATGCTGAGCTGAGCTGGACACGTTGGGGAGCTTGCCAGGAGATGGGAAGACTGAGGACACACATCCAAACTCACAGAAGAGCCCCTGATAAAGCAAGGCGTCCACACACATCAATGACTGTCATTTACTCAGTACTGACTGAGATGTATAGATTTGATGCAATCCTCATCAAAATCTCAAAGGCGATTTTAAGAAATAAACCAGAAGATTTGAAAATGTACATGGAAAAGCAAAGGCTCTCGAATAGTCCAAATGATCTTCAAAAAGAACACAGCTGGAAGACTTACACTATGTGATATCAAGATTTACCATCGGCTGAGTGGTGGGTCACACCTGTAACCCCAGCACTTTGGAAGGCAGACAGGAGGTAACTTGAGCTCAGGAGTTTGAGACCAGCCTGGGCAACACTGGGAATCCATTTCTATTTTTTATTTTTATTTTTTAAAAAAAGATTTACCATAAAGCTACGAGACAATAAGTCAAGATAATGTGATATTGGTCAAAGGATAGACAGAACAATAGAACAAAACATAACGATGCACAAGTTTTAACAGCCAAGTCGATCAAGCAGAAGAAAAGATATCAGAAGTCAAAGACCAACTTAATGAAATAAAATGAGAAGACAAGATTAGAGAAAAAGCGATAAAAAGGAACGAGCAAAGTCTCCAAGAAATATGGGACTATGTGAAAAGACCTAATCTACGCTTGATAGGTGTACCTGAACGTGAGAAGAGAATCAATCCAAGCTGGAAAATATGCTTCAGGATATTATTCAGGAAAACTTTCCCAACCTAGCAAGGCAGGACAATATTCAACTCCAGGTAATACAGAGAACACCACAAAGATATTCCTCAAGCAGACCAACCTCAAGGCACATAATCGCCAGATTCACCAGGGTTGGAATGAAGGAGAAAATACTGAGGGCAGCCAGAGAGAAAGGTCGGGTTTCCCATAAAGGGAAGCCCATCAGACTCACAGCAGATCGCTCAGCAGAAACCCTACAAGCCAGAAGAGAGTGGGGGTCAATATTCAACACCTTAAAGAAAATAACTTTCAACCCAGAATTTTACATCCAGCCAAACTAAGCTTCATAACCGAAGGAAAAATAAAATCTTTTGTGAACAAGCAAGCACTCAGAGATTTCATCAACACCAGGCCTGCTTTACAAGAGCTTCTGAAAGAACTACCACACATAGAAAGGAACAACCAGTATCAGCCTTTCTAAAAAATACCAAACAGTAAAGAGCATCAACATAATCAAGAATTTACATCAACTAATAGGCAAAACAGCCAGCTAACATTAAATGGCAGTATTAAACTCACATATATTATTATTAATTCTAAATTTAAATCGACTAAATCCCCCAATCCAAAGACCCAGACAGGCAAAAAAAAAAAAGCCAAAACCCATTGGTATGCTGCATCCAGACCCATCTCATATGCAAGGATACACAAAGACTCAAAACAAAGGGATGGAGAAAGATTTACCAACCTAATGGAGAGCAAAAATAAATAAATAAATAAAAAGCAGGAGTTGCTTTAAAGCAAGAAAGCTCAAAAGAAGCAAAGAAGGATATTACATAATGATAAAAGAATCAATGCAACAAGAAGAGCTAAAGATCCTAAATATATACGCACACAATACAGGAATACCCAGATATATAAGACTTATAAAGAGACTTAGACTCCCACACAATAATAGTGGGAGACTTCGACATCAATATTAGACAGATCGATGAGACAGAAAATTAACAACCATATCCAGATCTGAACTCAGATCCGGAACAAGTAAACTTAATTAACATTTATAGAACTCTCCACTTTAAATACACAAAATATACACTCTTATCAGTACCACATCACATCTATTTACAGGTTTCAATGAAATATTGGTTGGCTGCTTGTTTGTTATTTTCTTCCCTCATTTTTTTTTTCATGTTTCTATTATTAAGCACAATTATAGGCATACCCATTTTTAGACTGCATTCTAACCCGGGCAATAAAGCAACACCCCCGTTCTCTCTCC